ACCGTAGGGTGATTTTGCCATAAATACCTGATTGGATTTGCCATCACTCCAACATATGCATTTCAAATAATTTGAGCCAATCGTTTTTACTCATGTGACATCAATCGAAAAGATAAGCTTACCACACCCACACCGCTGCATCACACACACCTTTACGGAACGTGTATCCCACGAGGGCATGTAACAGTTGCCCAACCTTTCTTGCCCTACCTTCGTCAAACTAGACAACACGCCATCTCATTGTTCATTTCACCAACACTTGCAAGCATGAAGTCAACCGCATTCTTAACTCTGGTGGCCTTGATCATGGCCATGATGGTCCAAGATGCTTCTGCACACGGCAGTAGTTGAAGTAACTAAGACATCGAGCTGCTACGTAAGAAGCGGTGCACTAGCAAGTTCCGCCAGAGCATGCATTTACTTCGACTTCTTGCTTGTGTTGTTGAGCGCCTACTGACTACCATTCACAAAATTACTCAGTGCCTCAACAATGGTATCGCAACTATTGATACGGCACACACATAAAGTGTGTGTGTTTGCAATGAGTCAAACTAACGCGCGACCCAATTGCTCTGCACACTACAGATCACATCCCCTTCTACGAGAAGTGCATAGTCTTGATGAGGGCGGCCACGGCAGGGTCTTCCTTGTTGGCCGCCGCCAACTTGCGAATTACGACTGGAATGTCGTCCAGCAAATTCGCCGCAGGTTTCCAGGACGATACTTCATGTCGAGTCCGAGCCACTCTCCAAAACTTGTTGTTGGCCAATGACGCATCGCGCTTCGTCCAGGCATTCCGCATGAAATCCGCCATCGCCAAACGCGATCTGCGCCTCGAGGGCTTCGGTCATCTCTCTACCACCTACGTGGTACATCTTCAATCGGTACGCATGATGGACCGTGACTTCATACGGTGGCACCAGCTGCTGAAAATCCATCACATGGTCTGTGAAGACTCTGGTCACTTGGCCGGGCCTGTGCCAATGCAGGGCCAATTTTGTCGGGCGGTTGACGACCGAAGCACAAAATCACCAATCGAAAAACCCGCAAACTTGACTTGGGACTTTCGTTGTGGCCACGAGCTTGTCGCTTCCCACGGCAACGGTGCGGTGCATTTCTTCTAGCGCCGCTTGGAGATCCGTCACCTGTTTTTGACGGGCAGCGCCAAGCCAGTCCGCGACGTAAACTTTCTTGGACGTCGGGTGGACAAATCCTGCCAGCGGGGTTTTGGCTGGCAGGCCAGCAAACGCTGCCACAGGTGCAATTCCTCCCAGCCGGTCCACCGGCTGATGGTTGAGGGCGCCTTGAACGAGGGGCAACACATGCGGCCATTCGTCCGCGTTCAGCTTCATTTCGCTGAGCAGCGCCTTCGTGGCGCCACACTAATCAGTTGACTACTTCTACAGTCCCGTTCGCCCAAGGACTGTAGGCTATCGTGATATGATGGTGGGCACCCACCAACTTCCGCACCTTCTCGATCACTTTGTTCTCGAAATGAGAACCGCCATCTGACACCCATGTGTCAACGCAGCCGAACGTGGTAAACCACGTCATCAGGCACTGAGCGGTCGCGGCGGCATCTGCGGACACTACAGCGAACAGCTGCACAAAGCCACTCATGGCGTCCTTCACGACAAGCACTTGTTTATGGCCTGACTTAGCCATGGGCATCGACAACCAGTCGAAATGGATGAGCTCGTTCGGTTTCTCCGCGTGAAGTGCCCGAACCCAATGGACGGGGTACCATGTCTCCATCAATGCACAGGCAGTGCAAACAGGCGCGCAAGAACGCTTCGACGTCCGTGGAAAGCGTCTTCCACACAAACTTGTCGGACACCGGCTTGGTCGTCGCTGCGATGCGACGGTGATCGCTGGCTCCTTGGTGAGCGATCACACAAATCCGCTGCTGTAGGTCGACAGCACCGTCTGGGATCCAGATTCGTCTGTCTGGGTCCACGTAAATATGGGAGTCGTCGTCCCCAGACCGTCATGTCTTCTCGCGGGTGCGACAGGGGCACCACATGCGTCAACGCGTGTTTCACATCGTTGAAACACCTAAGATGGTCGGACGACCATCCCACGGCAGGGAGTGCGACACGCACCAACGCCGTTTTCTTGTAGCTTCCGGCTGCCTTGGTGGCCACGTCGAGCAGACGTCGCAACTGATCCACCAAGTGGTTGTAACCAGGGATGCTCGCATGCATCCAGTTGGTGGCACACACAAACTGTTGGAGGTCGGCCGCGGTCGTCGGCGTTGACAAATCCACGGCGGATTCAACTTCTCCGCCATCAGGCGCTTGACATCGCCATGCCGGACAAATCGTTCGTCGGCACAGACGAAACGTCCCATTCTTCCTTCTTCTTCCTTGCTCCAACAAGGAGGTCTTCAACGCTGAAGCCCAGTAACTCCATGACTGGGCGACTCACGATGAGTTCGGTTACAGTCGACGCATCGTCGACCCAGGCCTTCAGACCGCGCAACACAAGCGGCCCACACGTCGTGTCCAGCAATCACGCAGTTGAACTTGACGCTGCGCGTCATCACGACTGGCTAGGCGTCACTGCCATATGGGTACGCCAAATACAGCACCCAATGGGAGACAGTCCCAACTTTGACACCGGCTGCGTCCAACGCATCCATGACGCCGCGCGTGACAATGGACACGTCCGAACCAGAGTCCAAGAGCGCATCGTCCACGCGGACGATATTCTCCAAGAGCACGCCGCGCTCTGTCTTCTGGCGCTGCGGCTGGTTGACCAGGACCTTGATGCCGTCCTTCCAGCGCTTGACTTGCGCTGCCAACAACGTTTCGGCTTCGCCAGGCGCGGTCTTCGGACACCGCGCCACACGGTGACTCATGTATCCGCACTTCAAGCAGCCCTTCTTGGAAGAGGGCTCGGCATTCTTGGGCACGATCATTTCGGCCTTTCCACCGACTCTGCCATTATTCTTGGCGGCGTCCTCCCGGCCGCCTTCACGTCTTGTGACTTGCGGCTTGCCGCCTCGTGGAGCTTCTACCGGCTTTGCTGCCGGGGAAGGCTTGGACTCACGGCGAGTCCAACATACAGCTGGTGGCCAGCCGCAAATGTCCGCAGCCAGTTGACGTAACGAAAGACGTCGCTCTTCAACGCCTTGTTCCGCTGCTTTTGAACCGCTGTCTTCAGCGATGCGGCTTGATCGATTTCGTCATGACTTCGATGACCATCTTGCCTTCTTGGTGAAGTACCCACTCCTGATGGTCTTGTTCCAACGAGCGCATCAGCTCGTCAAGCATACGACGGACACGGGTCTCCGCGTCCAAAATCTTCGTATCGAAACGAATCGCTCGCTGCAGATGTTGCTTCAAAATGTCCAGGTCTTGAGGGTCTTCCTCAAATACTGACTTGAACCACGCGACCCACTCATCGTTCGTGATGGAATTGTGGTCGCAGTGAAGTCGGACAGCGCGATCCGGCGCTTCGAAAACTGGTCCATGCAAGCACTCACAGGCATCGCGAACGGACGCGATCCATTGCACTGCAGAGCGTTGATCTGCCCCAGATACTTCTGGTACTCGCGCATAAAAGCGCGTCTTTCGGCCTTGGTTGAGCCCGAAAATATCTGCGGCTGCGGGAGCGCAGGCTCGTTCAAACTTGCGCCGTACGGCCGTAACCGCCATCGCTGCCCATGTCCGTATCGTCACGAACATTAGTGAGGCGCCTACTGACTACCATTCACTAAAGTTCTCTGTACCTCCACTAAGGTATCGGAACCTTTGACACAGCACACACACAGAGTGTGTGTGTTTATAATGGGTCAAACTAACGCGCGACCCAATTGCTCTGCATACTGCAGAACAGCGTCCCATTATCCGGGATGTGCGGTTTTCTCTCCATGTCATGTCCGACGCCGATGCGAGATTGAAGTTCCGATTTGATGTCGTCGGAATCCAGCGCCTTGTCTGCGCCCTACGGCTACCTGAAGCGGTAATCACGTCGGCCCGTGATCGTTGCCTTACTACTGAGGCCCTCTGTATAATTCTCTACCGCATGTCATACCCGCGCCGATACTACGACATGATGGCAACATTCGGCCGGTCACGAGATTCAAATTTGTCGAATCTTTAACGCTATAATCGACATCTTGTTTGACAAGTGGAGTCGCGTGCTCTATTTCTGCAATGCCGCTGTCGTTCCAAGAGTCGCCACGTATGTCGCAACGATCAAGGCCAAGGGATCGTACATGGGCAACATCTTCGGATTTATTGACTGCAGAAAGTTCGAGACGTGCCGCATCACTCAGAAGCGCGGCCGAATGTCCGCCGACTTTCCCGACATGCAACGCGTCATCTACAGCGGCCACAAGCATAGCCTCAATTTTCAGGCTGTTACTTCACCGGACGGACTCTGCGTGCAATCTTGGGGACCGGTCAAGGGGTCGCGACATGACACCGCTCTGTTACGCTTGAGCAAACTGGAAGCCTTTTTGGACCCCAGGCGCGATATTTTTGGCGATTATCTGGTGTACGGTGACCCTGCGTATGGCGTGTTGGAGTGGATTTTCTCCGGCTACAAAGCCACTCATTTGGACGACAAGAAGTCGTTTAACTCGGCCATGAGCAAAGTACGTCAGTCGGTTGAGTGGTCCTTCGGCATCATGAAGAAACCTTGGTCGATGGTAGGGTACAAAATGCACCTAAATATTATGCTGCAAAGTGTTGGTAAGGTGATTATGGTTGCGATGTGTTGTTCTCTAATAGCCACTGCTGTTATCACGGTGGAAATCAAAATTGTAGCTACTTCAACCTGACACCGCCATCGCTAGAGGAGTATTTAGTTAATGATGCCAACTAATACATCGAATGTTCAAACTCAAAGTATATTTTCACTTAGCGTTGAGTTATTTGAAGCAAATGACGGATAAGTTCCATCATGTCGTCGTTTCTCTTTCATCCTCGCGTTGCTGATTTCTTTCAATTCTATCCTTTTCCTTTTCCTGGAGCTCCATCTCAAACTTATACTTCTTGAATTCATGTTCTTCGTGTTCCAGCGAAATATCGCGCTCTTGCGTTTCGAAAATGGCCTTACGCTTGCGACTTACCACGTCGCTGTTGGTAGTGTCGCCATCTTCATTGGACGTGCGACGACCGTGGTTAATCGCTTGGTCCGGCACATATCCTGCTGAAGTGTTCCGCACCCCGCACTGTCGACGTTCCGTCGACCAGCACAGCAACCACAACGGTGGTTAGACTCACAGTGCAAACTGACTGGTATTAACCTTTTATACTAACCAGTCATCGATGTCGGCCACACGTCGAAACCAAACGGATCTCAAAACCAGGCGGATCTCGACCTCCCATGTAGGTGCGGTTTGCCCTCGGTCATTTCCCAGGGTACACGACGCACTTCTGCGGACGCGATAGAATACTTCCCCCTACAGAGGATGACCAAGGGTCGCCTCTAAGTCGTTGCGCAATTTCCTTGACGGAGCCGTCGCTGGCATTCTTCACGATCCAGCGGCGCATGACGACCGCAATGTGTTCATAGAGTTGGAGGGCTGGCTCCCACGAAGCTTCTTCTTCGTCCAGGCCCTTCCACTTGACGCGCATTTTGATTTTTCCGTCGGTGCTGCGGCGAACGCCCAAAAGTTCTTCGACGAAAAAACCTTCATCGCCAAACGCAGCGTAGTCCACCAGGGCATCGGTGACGTCCAATGCGGCATCGCTGAAAAACTTCAGCCGGCTGGCATGGTGGACCGACGTCGTAAACGGTTCCACGAGCTGTTGGACTTCCATCACATAGTCCGAGTCGACCCGCGATACGCGGTACGGACCTTTCCAGTTGAGTGCCAATTTGTTGGGGAACTTGATGATTTTTCCCAAAAGCACAAAATCGCCCTGCGCAAACTTCGCTAAGCGCACATCGCTTTCTTCTCGCGGCGGCCTCGCGCTTGCTGCCGCAACTTCTCGCTTCGAACCGCTACGTCGCGGTGCATATTTTCCATGGCTTGTCGCAGCGCGCCCATGTGCTTTTTACGCGCCTTCGACAGCCAGTCCACCGTGAGTACTTGCTTGGTCCTTGGGTGTTCGAACCCAGCTAATGGCGTTGTAGACGGCAAGCCTTGAAACGCCGTCACTGGAGCCACACCGCCGAGACGGTCCGCCGGCTGGTGGTTCAACGCGCTATGTACCAGGGCCAACACACGGTACCATTCGTCCGGTCGAAGCTTCATTTCGCTGGTCAGGGTCTTCAACCCTCGCAAGATAAGTCGATTAACGACCTCCACCGTGCCGTTCGCCCACGGCCTGTACGGAGTTGTGATGTGGTGATGGGCACCGATCATCCTCTTGATCTTGCCCACGACTTCGTTCTTGCAATGGGTTCCGCCATCGGAAACCCATGTCGACACAATGCCATGTGTCGCAAACCAATCCATCAGGGCTATCGCCGTGCTTTCCGCGTCGGCCGTTGCCGAAGGGAACAGACGACAAAACCCACTCATGTCGTCCTTGACGACAAGCACATATTTCCAGCCATTCGCCGCTATCTCAACTGAAAAGTGGCGCTCCGAAAACTCTCTAATAACCCCTTTACGAAACAAATTCACGAAACACAGTAGTTTTGTATAGTCAATGAAACCTTATTAAAACCATCATTCGGAAGTAATACACAGACTTCAAAATTGACACTGGTGAGAGAAATTTGTCCACAGATCCTTTAGCCACCAGGGAAATTGAAGCACGGCACAAATGCATGGGGCTGCAGTAACTACCAATACGTTGGTTAATAAGTTATACGTGCTTGAGCCAGCACATGCCAGGTGCAATGAGTGCCGTCAATTACACAGGCTTGCATATGCAACTTCGTCGAAAACCCACTTGCAGCCTGCAAGTGCTGGCGTCATTCTGGTATTCGTGACGAAACCAAGTCTCACTCATCTCGACTTCCATTGATATTGCTAACACCAACGTACTGCACCTCAGTCTACCGCAAGTAGCTTACTATCAGTTCTTGGCTTACACGTTAGTTCTACACACTGCCCACAAACTACCTACAAGCTACAGCACATGCGTTTGAAGGCCAATCATCGCCGTAGAAGACACGGCATCGTCGCACGGTGGTGTCTGTCATATACAAAGACATACAGTAGGTATATGCATGCAGTCGTTGATGGTAACACGGGATGTAGAATTGGGTACTACTGTAGAACTGCGGAGATTGCCGCGCATCCAACTCCTGCTGCAAATGTCAGATCTGCAGCTCCATATCATTTGCACTTCAAAGCGCACGTACATGAATGTTGGAGCTGAGTTTTCGGACCGGACTATTGTTCGGGTGGGAGGAGAGTGCTATGAACCTGGACACATGGAGCAACGGGGTCGAGGCGGATGGAAGTGGTCAATGAGAAGGTCATAACAATCGTGGCCATGGTTGCGACGCCGCATCAATCCGGCGTCGCGAGCATGTCCACGATTCTTATGACCTTCTCATTGGCGGCAGTGTCTATCGAGATGGTTGAGGTGGCGAAAATAAATAAATAATTTATTACGCACTTGAGAAAGAATAACTTATTCGAATAACTTAAATATCTCGAAGATCTTGAAGTGCGTGATATAGGACTGGGACATTCACGCAATTAACGTGTTGTAAGTGCATTTCGCAAAGATAGCATTATATTCAAAGCATTTTGCGCATTTGGTCAGCCCAAACGGCGATCGCACTCAAAAATGACCATCACTCATGAAGCTCGCTGATTGACTCAAAATTTAGGTCACCAGAATTTCGAGGTCGAAGTAACCCACAACAGGAGACTTGGAGTATAAAATTATATTTTAAATAGATATTATATTTTTTCAGAACCCCTGGTAATAAGCGCACCAAGCACGGCGGGTGTCGCACTTGTACATTGTCTATATTCACCCGAACAGACCGATGGGGAGTGCTGTGTGAATTTCGCTGAAAGGAGTGGAAGTACATTTTCGAGGGCCACTGTATAAGCAAATACTTCGAATTATTTAACTAACGTTATATGGATTGCAAAAATCCGTGGTAACGTTTGTATCATGCGTTCATCCAAAATTAATACTAGGTCATACAATAATTAGTAGAATGAGAATAAATTAGGATAATACTATTAATAGGTCATTGCATGCTAACGTGTCTACCTAGTATTACTGTAATAGAGTGATTTTGCTACTGTAGGGGCCTTTTGGGAAGATGCAACAGACAGGTCATTGTAACTTCTTTATTACTGAAGCAATTTCAACTCCTCTTTCGAATATACTTCTTCAGACTACACTTGAAATGGGTTACATTGACGTGATGAATAGCCAGGGTCATCGTCGCCTTCAAAATTTGAGCGGAAGATGTGTCGATGGAAATCAACACCCAAAATGTGTTAGTAGGTGCTAGTATCTACTAAAAAATCTGATTCAGCTTCACTGATTGGCTATAAATACCACTATCACATGGTTTTATTGGATGACCAAGGTTCATGGAATCGTCAAGCGACTTGCCCAAAGCAGGAACTCCTCCATCGATCGATACACATCGTTCTCCACTACTCCGCACAACACAGTATTTAATCCTTCATTTAAGCCCTTGTGTGTTATAAGCCTTATTTGAGTGAAGTAAGTGAACGCTTTAATGACAAAAGGAGCCTCAGTAGCTGAAATACTCTGCCACTTTGTCAATATTTCATGCATGTTTTGCCCAAAATTGGAGTATAAGTGAAAATTGAAGACAAGATCATGATCTTTCTACGACTAGTTTCGAAACTGTGCCAAATTCGAAATATTTCATATTTATATTACAGTTTGTATGACCCTGGTATAATCCCAAAAGGCCCCTACAATAATATATATAATTCTTTGTGGAATAATCACTGTGAACAAATTGAAGACTTCCAAAAATCACGCAAACGCCTTTTCGGTAGTATTTCGCATCCGGATAAGCCTTCAATTTTAAACATGATGGCACTCCACACGACCCACTCGAAGGAGCGATAAGTCGACAACCAACAAGCTTCACGGCATACAAAAAACTGTTAAACACAGTAAAATTGTAATATTAGGTTATGCAGCACAAATGCGAGCGTCCAGTTGTTGTATATAAGTCAGATTTCGCAAAGGCCAGTTCTATTCTATCCGCATCATATAGTCTCTAAATCCATAAATTTAGAACCTACCTGTAAGAAATTGTTGTATTGGCTGCAAAAAAGGCTGGATTTGTGGTGATGTGGATGTCCGCTATATCCGAATAACAGCACTTATCTCGCACGACTCCGATATCAATGTCCTTGCGATAGAACCATCTGAGACCGAGCAATGGTGCAAGTGGTGGAGTGACACCGACGACTTGAGTCTTTGGACTCAGGTCAACAACGACCTGCCTTTCAAACAAGCGAAGAACACGACGAAGACATGGGATGCGGTGGCGGACAAGCTCTGTCAGGTTCCTGGATTTGGCAAAAGCGGGTTGGATAGAAAAAAAGCCCCCAGCCGCTTCTACCAATTCCTGCGTGTGCACAGGAAGTTCCAGGTCGGTTTCAAGTACCTCTCCGGTGTCAAACAAGACGACACAGGCAAGATCATGCTGCTCGACGAGTTGTTTCAGCTCTTCGACGAAGCAAGCGACGAACGATAAGTCGAAAGAGCAACGTCAGCGGCCAAGGCCACGGAAAAGGAGGCTTCCTGCTCTGCCGCGTCCGCAGAAGTGCGTCGTGTGCCCTGGGAAATGACCGAGGGCAAACCGCACCTACATGGGAGGTCAAGATTGTCCTGGTTTCGAGATCCGTCTGGTTTCGACGCGTGGCCGACATCGATGACTGGTAAGTATTAAAGGTTGTTAATACCAGTCAGTTTGCACTGTGAGTCTAACCACCGTTGTGGTTGCTCTGCTGGTCGACGGAACGTCGACAGTGCGGGGTGCGGAACAAAGAATTCTTTAGAGCATCGTATCGACTATACAATTAGTGATACGGAAGCTGAGCCGTCAAACCGCAAGTCTCGTTCGCCGGAGCGCGAAGATGACCCAGTGCAGCAGGCTCCACGAGAGTGTGAAGGCCGCGGACGTCTCCGTGGGCCTTTCGGCTCTCCTCGAATAACCCAACTTCAGGCCATTGACCGGATCGGGTTGGGAACGCAAGGCAGTGGCCCAAGATGTGCAACATTCGCTGCACCGGCAATGGCAGTGTGTGTACCGTTGCCATCCGAGCAACCAGCTGTCGCGCAAGCAGCTGAGGATGTTGACATGGGATTTGACGATGCCGTGAAGTACTCAACGCGCCGGCGTTGCCACATCCACCGACGTTCAAGGGATCAACGAAATCGGAGCGTCGTGCATTTATACGCAAATACCAGCGATACACGTCACAAATCATGGCATTGCAATCAACGGGTCAACGTCCGTTTTTGATGCCAGTTGGTGCGTGTATGGACCTGTTTTCAAAGCGACGCATCGCTATGTTTAACTTTGGGAAGTCACATGGCGATGTGACAGAAGACGAGTGGGTGACCTGGTTCATGGAGGCCCACGATGAAGAAGCGCCTTTATGCCCACGATGAAGAAGCGCCTTTATGTGGCTGTGCAGCTCGACACCAAGATCCTCGACGCCGACAATCGAGTGAGTCGAATGCTTGACAACTTGATGAAAACCCTCGAGGCGGACGGCCAAAAGTGGGTGCTCCATCACGAAGGGAAGTTGGTGGTGGAAATAATCACAAAAGCGATCATGCCAGCACCGCTCCCGCTGGCCGTGACGAAGCAGCTGCAACTGCAGTGGAACAAAGTGCTCAAGTCAGACTTGTTTCGCTACGTCAAGTGGCTGCGGCAATTGGCCATTGGGTACCAGCTGTATGGCGGCATGGACGAAGAAAAACCGTCGAAGCCGCCGGCAGAGGAGCCGCGGAAGGGAAACTCGCGGCCTCGCCCACGTTTCAGCCCGGTCCGTGAAGAAAAGCGGCCCAGTGGCGCGCCTGTCGCGCCTCCTACTTGGCGTGCCGATAAATGAGACGAGCGACCGAAGCTTAAGTGCCTGAAATGTCAGTCGACGGCACACCGAGTGCAGGAACACCCTGGCATTACAGATACCGAGGTAAAGAAGTTGATGGACGACTTCCATCAGGCGCGCCGTCGGTCGGTGAGCTTCGTGTCGACCACGAAGCCTGCAAACAGCATGGAGTGCCAAGCGTCGATAGAGGACGTTCTCCACTTCCTAAAGTGTTGCTTGACTCTGGGTCCGACGAGACGTTGGTGTCGGAAGGCCTCCTCGTGGCGCTGGAGCGCCTTGGAGCAAGTCTCAACGTTGAGACAAAGCCAAGACTCATGTTGAAGTCGTATGGAGAGACAACCAAGCCTCTCCATGTGACACGGCAAGTGCAGTTCAAGACAGTGACGTTGGAGACGTCAATCGGCCCCCTGGTCTTGCGTGGACTCCGACGTGGGTCGAAGAAAAGAAGATGGAGATCGACGTTCTCATTGGACGTCCCGTTATGGAGCGACTGGGGTTTTCAGTCGACGCTTTGAAGCAGCGTCGAGTCTGGGATATGGCCGAAGCGGAAGATGCCGACCAGACGTCGGCAAATGTGAAGCGGCTGCAAGAGGCGTTCCAGGAAGAACCCTAAGACGCATTGTACGCCGAGGACGTGGCGTGTTCCACTCCAGCAATGGAGAAGCCCGCCGATCAAGACGGCGAGATAAAGCGCATTCTCGACGGCAAGATTGCCGAGGCCATCCAGCTTGGCCTCTCCCCTGCGCATGAAAGCGAACTCCGGCGTATTTTGGATGATCACGCCGATGTCTTTTGCCTGGAGTTTGGGCAAGACTTGCGGTGGATGTCGAGCCGTTGAGAGTACGGCTGAAGGAAGGAGCGGTGCCCGTGAAGTGTGCGTTGCGCGGGTTCCCGCCGGCCCACATGGATTATTTGAAACAGCATGTGGAAGAGCTCGAGGCCGCAGGCCTCGTCTACCGCTACAACCGTGCGACATGGGCCGCAGCGCCGCGGATTGTCGCCAAGGAAGCCCCTGGTGAATATCGAATGACCATCGACTCTCGCCCGATCAACGCATGGACGATCCCCATGGGCCAACGGTGGAAAAGGAAGCGTTTGCGTTCGTCGAGTCGTGCTAACGACTGGAGTACCTGGTGCTCCGGCAGCACGGATTCAGACTGTTCACTGACCACCGCAATTTGCTGTACATCTTTAACCCGCTGGGTTACAACAGCAACATGGCTCGGTACCAAGCCCACAAGCTCCTACGGTGGGATATGGTGATGACGACCTTCCCCTACACCGTCGAGCATGTGGCGGGGTAAGCGAACCTATGGGCGGACCTGCTCAGCCGGTGGGGTACCTCTCCGTTACCTGCGGCAGTGGCGAGAGTGTGACAACTGATTGTTGTCTCGCCATACAAGACAAGGATTTCGCCTGGCCGACGCCGGCGAAAATACTGGAAATAGAGAAGGCAGCCTGGAAGGCTGCAGGCGAGGACGTCCTCAATGTGGCATGGAGCGTCAGTGACGGGTATTACGTGACCGCCGCTGGGAAAATCTGGATCCCCGAGGCCGTAGTGGATCTGCATCATAGCCCACCAAGACGCGACCGGTTACCACGGAGTGGACGTGACAACCCAAGGCGTACTCGAGCGGTTTGAGTGGCGAACCGCAAAGGAAGACCTGAATGCCTTTGCTTACACTGCCTGTGTGTCGACGGCACGATGGTGCCGAGACCCTGGGGCGCTGCCCTGCATGCGGCTTGCAAGATACGGATATATCTACGGATAATACAGGTTCTCCATTCTCCTCTTTTGTTGATGGCTACAATAACTGACGAAAGCGACACCACGCCGCTTCCCACATGAAAGTTCGCATGTCGCCACGACATCATTCTGCTCCAACAGGTGTCCCTGTCGCGACTGTGGGAGGGTGAATACGGGAAGGTGATGGCGATCTGGGCCAAAGGTTGCGACAGAGTTGAACAGCATGCCTGGATTTTCAATGGTGAAGAAGCCGTGCGCGCTAAAGGCCAGGTTCGAATACCTGTTGGCAAAGCACGAGAAGGGGGAGAGTGCGTCGTTGCGCAAGTCGGGGACAACCGAGGAGTACTCTGAACGTGACCAGCTACTGACAGGCATTAAGTTGCGCGTGGACGAAGCCGTGCGCAAGGATGCTGCGAGGCGGAAACTGGAAATCGTTAAGAATTCGGGATTGATCATGCGCCAATTGGTCATGGCAGAGCTTGAAACGTCTGCCAAAGAGACCGAGGACGCTGAGATCACTCCGATCAAGCGGCGCAAGAAGTCGAAGAAACCAGCTCCTACCCTCGATATTGCGAGCCTTATGGGCATTATTCGTGAAGGCATTGAGGACGACAAGGAGCGGTGTGAGGCGCAACGTTTACAATATGATCGTGAACAAGATAATCGCCATGCTGAGCAGCTTGCCGCGCATCAACGTGCCTTGGTAGATTTAGTTGCAGCAATTGCTAAAAAATTGGAATAAAAATATTTCAGTCCGATTAGGAATAATTTCACCTAATTCAAATTCAAAATAGTGATGTAGACCAACAATTAGGCCATATATAGGAGTTTTGACGAGTGAATATGCATATTTTCCACCCAATGTTGTTTTGGACGTTGAAATCGCTTTGAACGTCATATTTTTATTGTAATAATATTGAATTTCATGTTAGTGCAAGGATTTCCTTTTGAAATTAACTTGCACTTGTATTCGTCAAATTAGACAGTAGAGGTTTTCCGGGTATACCCGGTTTTGTCCTCGAAGGTAGAGAAGTAGGAGGCTGAGGGCAGCCTCAGTTTGGAAGGGGGAGTAGTCAAGATGTCGGACAAAGATGGCGGACAATGGCATAGAAGGAGAAGAAGGATAGTAAATATGGAAATAGACACTCTGGGATTATCCCATCCTTGACTCTACTACACCCTCAAAAACCTCGCGGTGACGAGCCGCGACAGCCCATTCTAACTTGGTGGTCATACTGGGGCTAAACTAGGCAATTCTAATTAGGAATATTTCTTAACTAGATTACATCACACAGATTATATCAAGTATTCATTCAATCCTGGGGGTGCTACATCGAAGTACTGTACATTGAGAGTTGATTCCCCTCAGCTTTGAGACAGGTGTGGCAGTTAGTCAGGAGAATGGCCACACGCCACAGGATGCCTACTGGTGCATTGCGAACTTTCATCTTTCTGTCGTAGCTTGCGAAACACCACAACCCTTTCACCAGGTGAAAGCTCCACTCCACCGATTCCCGGACGGAGCTCATGGACGAGTTGAAAATAGCCTCGAATGATCCTGGAATAGCGCAGGGAAATGGGCAGGATAGGCACTGGCGGCATCCATATGCTGGGTCGCCATACAAACAATAGCGCGACAGAACCCCGTCTTCCTTCATCCTCTCCATATGCGGCTCATGGAGAACATGGTGGAATCGTGGCGCCGCCCCACTACCGGCACGTACATGCTGATGATGATGCCGTCAGGAACGGTAATACCTTGCCAGTTCAGACAATGGCGACGGAGGTGACCGTTGTACACCGAACGTTGAAGGTTCTCGTGTTCTTGACCTTCTGCTGACGGACGGCTGATGTACTGCTTCGTCCCATCAATGAACGCAACACAGGTGCGCAACCCTCTGAGCCCACTCTTCGACTCGATCGCACCGGCATAGGTTTCTACTGACATGCTTACAACAGACATACGTGTTGACACGTACCAACTTGGTCTACGAGCAAGGCTTCCTGAAAGAGGATCACATCGCTCCAAGTCTTGTACTGAGCAGTTGCGGTCGATGCGGCTGCAGGCCTCGACGGAACGCCCAAATTCATCGGCAATAGTGAAAAGTCGACAGGGCTCAGCCAGGCGTCGACACAGGATTGCAAGTGCCTCGAGCGACTCCACTTGATCGGAGATGGATGTACTTAAAAAGGCTGGCAGTCGTAGAGCCACAGCGAGCACGCGGATTTGCTCAATTGTGAACCGGAATTTGTGCACTGCCGTGGCGTTGTGCATGTCACGGTCGAAATTGTTGTACGAGACTATTGGCTTCACGGGCCTCAGTCTCATGAATTTGGATGCCATTAAGCCTTGAATTACGGTGAGAAACATGTCGAAATCACTGCTGCATTACGCAGCAATAAGGGACACCAGCTCTCTATTGCGAAGGATGCGCGGTTGGGGCATTTTTGACCAATAACATAATCCGGATAATTTAGAAGTTAACTCAAAACCTTTCCGAAAGTACTGATATTTTCGTCAAAGTTGGGATTTAGATATGCCCGAAAGTTTGAAATTGCTTGGTTTTCAGTTCACTTCCGCAAGTTGAATCTTAGCTGAAAAGCTCTTACGAAAACTCTCTATTATGGTACAATAGTTATTTTTACTCTATCGGAAACCACAATAAATAACTCCACCGGAGAATATGTTTAAATATATTTTTGATCGCTGTTGGAAAGTGCTGCAAAATCTACGGAAGCAATATCGCTGCCCAGGCTCGAGGACGATACAAAGCCCACGGGTGGCGGCGCTCGCTGCAAGCTCGACCAATGAATGCGACAAGAGCAGCCAAGGCGCTAACACCATTTTTCTGGGTGTACAATATATCCTGCACATACATGTACAGTAGATACATACATGCATGACTCAAACAAATATTTCCCATCAATCCATACGTTACATCGAAGGAGCTCGTCAACGTTACTTCCTTATTAAAGATGTTCGAGGCATCGATATTCTTCGAACTTCCCCCGTTTGGCGTGATCATGCCTTGGGTAGATAGCACACACGGATCTCTGCTTGGGCGGCAACCCCTTCAACACCCAACGGATGACACATGGCATGTCGGAAGAGTGGCCAACAGATTGGAGCTACAGGTTGGAATATATAGGACAAAGGTGATCACCAACACGCTAGTCGTTTCGACTTGACTCGTACACTGACTTTGCCAGCAGCAACGCGTCAGACTTCCGACAATAGCAAATTGGTTTTACGCAGCACAACGGCTTTTCTTTACCGTGCCAATTTACGACTCGAGAACGGGTGTAAATCTCGTTACAGTTCCCGTTTCTCTGTTAGAATCCATGTGTAACTGGCAAAATGTAACGATGGCAAGGTTGCCGACCAAGAATACAGCTTGTCGCATCGTTAACAAAATGATGGTAAGGCTGTCGAACAAGCTAAAGATTGTTGCACCATTATCGGGCAAGGCCGTTGAAGAAGGCGTAGAGAAAAACATTTAGTTGATGTAGTTTAGCATAGTATACATTTTTGTAGTTAGTAGTTTAAGACGACAATCTAATCACTTTCCAATTTATTCTGTGAAGCTCGCTACCGTTACATTTGGTAGCACTTCCTGGTTCACTTCGGCAGCAAGGACTTACACCGAGGGGCATAGCTCGGAGGTTGTAAGGTTACGCAATCTAGCTCAGGCAAAGGTTCAACGGCGACCTTTCATAGCGACTAGTGTCGAGTTAGCGATCACCAAGTGTTTCTTTTTCCTCGACAGTACTCTCCTTAGTATCCGACATCAGAGTCGGTAGGGGCAGAGTCAACCGTTGGGAAAGGGACATTTGGTGCGTGTGAAGAGTCACTGCCGACAAAAAAGTAAACGACTGCGGCGAGTGGGAAAGTCAAAAGCGGAGCGGAGCGGCAGCGGCAGTGGCGAGCGAGAAGGTTATCCAGCGAGACCTTCGCAGCGAGAACAGCGACTTAAGTAGTAACCGAATTAAGTACGCCCTCGACGAACTTACCAAGGTCCAAGCAACTTTGAGTTTGTCGTCCGGATACGTACGTAACGTAACCGAATCGCCAACAAATGCGCGTGATTGACGCGCATTTGTTGGCGAGACCGCAGATCGAAGCGAAGAAGCCGAAGGTTGACACTAAAGTAGACTTAGTTGATTACTTAGCGAGCCCGTAATAAAACCTTTTTCCAATCGAAATCATGGAGGAAGTGTTTGCGAGGCTAGTTGGGACTGTGGAGCATCCGTAGCTGATGATCCAACAACTGCTGGAGGCCCAAACCCAAGCACAAGCGCAAGTGTTGGCAAATCAACAAACGCAACAAGGGAATTAACTGAAAGCGCAGCAGGACATGCAAGCAGCGCTACTTCAATGTGTGTCTAGAAACGGCGATCAGGGTAGAAGCCAACCACGTGACACTGAACGGCATGTCGAGGGACTCTCAATGCCAGTGTACCATGGGCATTTGAATGAGAGCATCGGGTTGTACATCCATCGAGTCGACGTTCTTTGCCGGCGAAGACCTTGAAGTACGAAACCGACGAAGCGGTTGAAGCACGCTGTCTAGCGATGGTTGTTGCGAACCTTCAAGGGCAGGCAGCTGCGTGGTATCAAGAGCTAGCGTCACAAGGCCATGGGTTTACGACACTCGCGGAGTTCGAACACAGTTTGCGTGAATAGTTCGAACCGAGTGATCTGCAAGAGCGGCTACGTGATCGTCTGTTTGCGTTGCAGCAGAAGGGGTGCAAAGACTTAGTCGAGTACATCGAGAAGTTCCGTCGTGTTTGCACGGATGTGCAGGAGATGTCAGTGCTGGACAAGGTGACGTTCTTCATTCAAGGGTTAAACTTGAAGACCCGCGAGGAAGTGAAGTACCGTCAAAGCACGACATTGTCTGAAGCGATCAAGGCGGCGTTGGAGTATGAACGTGCGCATTCTGTTTCACTCTCGTCGATGAAGCGTCCCGACAAGCCGAACCGATGGAATCGGACGGACTATGGAAGCGGCCAGCGCGAAGGACATGTACCGCGTTTGGAGTCGCAAGTGTCCACAGACATGGAAGTTGACAATGTCACGATGCAATGCAGTCGGAGGAAGGATAGCAGCAAGATTCGCTGTTACAACTGTCAGAAGTTGGGCATATCGCGACAGAGTGTCGGAAGTCCAAGAAGAAGAAAGCAGGGCAGACACCGCCCAGCCACCAGAACAACCTCGAAGTCCATGAGCAAGTGTCGAACGATGATTTTGAGTGCATCTCGTTTGGAGTCGTCAAGGAAGTGAACGACGACAAGGGGACTGTGGGAACGGTTGTTCCAGTCGAACCCAACGTTGGAAAGAAGTCACCAGCGTTGATGCTTAAGTCGGGTGTAATGAATGGCAAATATGTGAAAGTGTTGTTGGATTCTTCCGTTGGAGCATGCTCAAGTCAAAAACAATAATAAAAAGGCGAAGCTCGTGCCACGATTCGCTGGGCTGTTCAAGATACAAGAAGTTGTGAACGCGAATGCGATGCGGTTGAAGCTGCCACGAAGCATGAGCAGGCTTCACGATGTCTACAATGTGGATCGCTTGAAGCATCATGTCCAAAATCGAGAATAATTTCAAGGAAGACCAATACCCAAAGCAATTCCTATCATTATCGACGACGCAGGAAATGAACTGTACATCGTTGAAGCGCTGTTGAAGCAACGACAGTTCAATCGGAAGAAAGAGTACTTGGTCAAGTGGCATGGTTTGCTCGAGCACGAAGCAATTTGAGAGCTTGAGTGCATCATCAAGCATGTTTCCCATTTCAAACGAGTGCTTGAAGACCTGAGTACAAAAATCCAAGCTGCTAAGTCGACAACCGGGGGATAATAAAACGATGGCAAGGTTGCCGACCAAGAATACAGCTTGTTGAATCGTCAACAAAACGATGGCAAGGCTGTCGAACAAGCTAAAAATCGTCGCCCCAATAACGGGCAAGGCCGTTGACGAAGCCCAAGAGAAAATCATTTAGTTGATGTAGTTTAGCATAGTATACATTTTCGTAGTTGGTAGTTTAAGACGACAATCTAATCACTTTCCAATATACTCTGTGAAGCTCGCTACCGTTACACAAAGGTGCAATCATATTGGCCAAGATGACAACTTTACGTCGAAAGCATAGCAGAAGTTCGCCATTCTTATTTATTGCCCTCACATAAGCATAGTCTAGCTCCAATAACTACGAGTGATGGCACACATTGGGTACCTGGCATGCACAGCCAAATCTTAAAGCGTCAGCATCCCCCTTGACCAAGTCCTCAGTTTTCAAGTCGTTTGATGTATACTTGCATTCAGCAGACCTCAGAACGAATGCCATTCAATCTTGACGCATTAGTTCCAAAACGCAAAGGTACGCGGTTATATGTGTGGGCACAAACTGCACTTGACCTCGAACTGAAACATGATCGGGCAACGACACCGAATATAGGCTCTGCGAAGAATGGCTTTGGAAATAGAGAGGTTTTGGTGCAATTTCAGTCCCTATCCAGTAGGACGCCCCACCATATGATGACAAAACCGGAGTCCACCTCTTAAATCTAGTTCTGGAACCTCCTTAAATGAATGTTTTGTCCACCGTGTGAGTTGACTGTGGAATTTTGGTTTTGTCCATACATCCCTCTGGACACCAACCATGTCAACGCCACCAAAGCGCCGCAACTTCACCGAAGAGGAAGACATTATGCTTCTTCGCCAAGTCTCCGCCGACATGCCCTTCCTTGCCCGACGCGGACTCATCATGGACAACTGGACGGCCATTGCGGAAACTCTAGCGGCGAACGAAGACTTTGGCCGCCCTGACTTCGACGCGAAGAAGGCCAACAATCGGTTCATTGCTCTCGCGGAGGCACACCGCAAGATCCATCGCGTGTCAGCACGTGCTTCTGGCATTTCAGAAGACGTTGGGGAGAAGGTGGCCCTGCTCGATGACATACTCTCAGCACACGACGACGCAAAGGAAGAAGAGTCGCAGCGAATCGCAGATGCCAAGAAGACACACGAGCACAACGACAACCTGGGCAGTGTTGTGCGCGAGGAGGCGATGCAGTCGCTGGGAAAGCGAAAGCATGATGTCGACGACGATGGTGCTTGTCGGGGTGGTGGCGGTAAGATGCTAAAGGTGACGACGATGATGCACGAGCAAGTTCAATCCGAACTGGAATTTCAACGCGAGAAGCATGAAAACGAAATCAAGGAACGTCAAAAGGATCGCGAGTTGCTTGCGCAACAAATTTGGAACAAACAGGAGTCAATGCGTAGTCAACAGGAGTCAATGGCAGCTTTGATAAAGTTGCTAATGAACAAGCAGTAGATTTTTTTTGTTAAACTTCTACAAATTCCAACATGTTCAGGTACTCTTTCAACGTAGGTGGCTCGAGGTCAAAGTACCGTATAGGTAACAATAACTACCCGGGCTTAATAACTACTTTGGGGCCTTCGCGGGCACAATAACTACCCTCAGCGCCGCAGGCGGGCTAAATTTCACTACCCTGGGCAATATGGTTAACTTAATGAGTCCATGAGCAAGTTGCTCATCGTTAATGCCTCGGAAGAATTTTGGAATGCCTGACATTTGTGTACTTCCAAGTAAAAAAAAAAATATGAAAAATGTCGCGAAATGGTGGACTTGAACTCGGGACTTTCAGGTCACGAATCGGGCGCTCTATCACTTGAGCTACAGATGCCCCCTTTTTCGCCTCTACCGTCGCCGCCGGCACCAATTCTATGGTGCAGGCCATGGATGCACTCTCACCACCTACCACTGGGACGCGTGATACGAATTCCGACGACATGGACGTTGAAATTCACGATTTGACCTCTCCGGTGGCCGAAATGCGCGATTTTGGCTTGAACTCGTTTTCGGCGACACGCGACGCCGCCTCCACCGATCCTGCTTCGCCGCCTATGGTGCGTGAGTATGCCACTTCCCCGAGTCCCATGGTACC